AACACCAGCTAAATTTGCTTGCGTTGTATTATCAAGTAAATTTCTCAATTCCCAATTTTTTCCGTGGATGGTTCTTTTATACCAATCTTTAGCGTCATCTTTGAGAGATGCTATAAAAACATCATGAGCATTAATTCTATTAGCATGTTCAGCCCTTACATCTATTCCAGAACCTACAAGCCATAATCTAAATTCTTCAATATGTTCTTCAGAATCTTCAGTAGGATATCCATGAAATTTTTTTAATTCATAATCCATCATACCTGTTCAATTGTTATTATGATTCTGCGATATATTATTCTGTAGTAATAAAATTTGGACTTGTAAATTTAAAATTAATTGCTGTGAATTGTGCTCTCTATTTTTCCACTTGATATGAGTTGTCTTCTGATCCTTGAATTTATTGTAATATCTATCAAAGAGCAAATCTCAATTATATTCTAATAATCCTTTATCAGCCTGAAATTGTTGTAACTCCTGCTTTAGCCGATGAATAGATACCTTATAAATAATTTTGAGAGGATGCCTGAGTTTAGATTGTTTTTCTAATGCCAAGATAACATTATACTACAAATACCCTCGCAAATTATATCTTTGTTGGATATTATTAAGATCTCAAGTAAGTTGATTGACACGATTCTGCAAGGTATCTCATTCTGGTATAAGTTAATTGACATAGTTTTGCAAGGTATCTTGCTCTGGTATAAGTTGATTAATATAATTTTGTAAGGTATCTCGCTCCTGAATAAGTTGATTAACTTGATTCTGGAGATTAGCATTTTGCTCTCTAAAATAATTGACATCTTGTTGCAACTGCAATACTTGATTATTCCAATCATCTCATTGGGCTATAACATTCTGATACGCGTTTTGGTAATTAAGGCGAACAGCATTCAAAGAGCCTCTAATGCCATTTATAATATTGATAGGATTATTTAATGGAGTACCAGCACCTCAGATATGATTTTTAATTTGAGTTAAGTCTCGATCAATTTGTATAAAAAGATCAAGATTCGCCATATCTGTATCTTCTTCTGAATTATATAAACTTGGAGAGCTTCTTCTCGAAGAAATAACTTTGAATCTATGCCTTAAATTTTGAACTCGCTCTTCCAATTCTTGTAATTGCTTCTCTATACTATTGATATAAGATATCTTGTCTCAGACCTCCTTTTTAACTTGATATAAGCTTTTTTAAGGGATGATATTTCTGATCTCAACTCCACTTTTTCTTCCTCCGAAGCATTTTCAAGCTGTTCCAGTTCTTTATTGAGAGATTAAATTTCATTCTCACACTGGATATATTTACGTTCCAGATCCTTTATATATTTTTCATTCGACTTGTTGATGACTACCTCCGATTGTAATATCTCCTGGAGTTCTTGGTTAATTTGTTCCAGCTCGAGTTCTTTATCTGTAGCTGATCTATGAGTTGTTCGATTGGGAGGTCAAGGTCTATGAAATGCCATGGTTATTACGAAGTAATGAGACTCTGTCTCTATTTTTTATGGCATATTATATTATCTTATCTCTTGACTTTGCTATAATAAATAATATCAAAAATGAGTAGGTCCTTAGATCATGCTTCGCATAGATTGAGCAAGCCTATTATTAGAATCGATCCAGATGTGGAATTGCAAATTGTCCTGAGCATGCTTTATTATCAACCTACTGGTTATCATTCTAATACTCGAAAATTGTATAATGCTATCAGAGATAAAGGATATAATTTTCCATATAAAAAAGTGCATGAATGGTTACATAACCAGAATGAATGGCAAAAGTATGCCCCGTCACTGAAACATACTTCACGGGTTAGTTATGGTAAAATTCAAAAACCAAATTGTGTACATCAGTGTGACCTCTTATTTCTTACGCATGATTACTATAAAGGTAAAAAATGGAAAGCAGTATTACAAATTATAGATGTGGCTAGAAGGTTCAAGGCAAGTGTTCCTCTAATATCAGAGAATAGTTCCGAAGTTGCTAAAGCATTCAGGAAAATTTATGATGATCCCAATAATCCTCTTACGTATCCGACACTTCTACAATGTGACGGTGGTAAAGAATTTATGGGTGAAACTGCTCGATTAATGGAAGCACATAATGTCACAATTCGAGTAATTGGTGCTTATAGTCATCATGGATTAGCTCTTGTAAAATGATTCAATAAGACGTTAGCAGAGATGCTTTATAAAATCCAGTATGCCGTCGAATCGATATCTAAAAATCCTAAATTAATAAGTGAGTGGGTCAAGTATTTGCCAGAGGTTATCGATTACCTAAATAATTATCTGATACGTCTCATTCGAGCTCCAGGTTCATCAAAATGGGGTTTAGCTCCAGCAAAAGCTATCAAACTGGAATGAGTAGAATCTAGGCCATCTACAAAGTATAAGCGTCCTGTTGGAAAATATGAGGAGAATAGGCTGAAGAAAGGTGATACAGTTCGCTATCTGCTTGCTAATGCAGAGTGAGAAGGAGGTATGGAAACAACACGTCACGCGACGGACCCAGTATGAAGTCCATCACTATTAAAAATTCAAAAAATCGTAATGACAAAAAATGAACTAGTTTTATATTACTTAGAAGGTGAATATGCTCCAAAACGTGGATTTGTGAGAGAGGAACTCTTATATGTGAATATTGATACGCTTCAGTATCCGCCTCAGAGTATATTGGAAGAAAATACTCATTCCAGGTTTGTTAATTTTATTCATGTTGTTAATAAAATGGCTAATGTTCAGGCTTATGCTGAAAGGTGAGGTGGACATTGCATTGAAAAAACTGGCCGAATAAATGATTTCGATGTATATCTCTGGTCCTGTGAAAACGGAAAGCATCAGTGGGAATATCCATATCCATTGATCGCAGATAAATTTAAGTGGTGTCCCCTATGTCAACATAATAAAGGGGAGTAATCCGCGAGATATATTTTCAAAGATCTACTTGACAAAAAATTTCCATCATGTAAACCATCATTTTTGAATGGAATGCAATTAGACGGGTATAATGAAGAATTAAAATTGGCATGGGAATTTAACGGGGTTCAACATTATTCTCAGAATTCAATGTTTCATAAACGAGGAGAAATAGATTTAGATTCACAGAGGAAGCGTGATCAAAAAAAGCGGGATATATGCAAAGAGCGAGGTATAGATCTTATTTGTATCCCATTCGATTGTGATTTATTTCCCTATATAAAAAGCAAATTACAAGAGAGAGATTATTTATCATATAAAGAATAAATATTACTTATCTTGATTAGAATGAAAGATAAAGGCATGTTCATATTTGTATATAATATCGATGAGACATCTAAAAATTCCTCAGAATGAATGAAAGGTAATAAATATTCACCAGAGGGTCCATTCAGATTGCTGGTATATGGAGGGTCCAATAGCGGAAAAACCAATATGATAATTAATCTTATGCTAGGTAATAAATTACAGCGAATGTTTAAAAGTAAGAAAGAAAATCGTTATATCAAAAACAATGATCTTGTATTAACAGACAAGCATTTTGAGCTGAAATGGCAACTTGTACAAAATAGCTTTCAGATCTTTGCGAATGCGTCTAAACCATATCGAGAAGATGTCACATTTAAAAGGGTATCTTCAGACAAAATTCCAGATATAACCAAATTCTCACCAGATCGAAGTACAGTTGTTGTATTCGAAGATCTATGTGCTGAATCAAAGAAAGTGCAAGAACGAATTATTCCTTATTTCATTAGTGGCCAGCATCAAAATATCTCGCCAATATATGTGTCACAGAAATATACACAAACACCTAAAATCATCCGCGAAAATCTGAGCCATCTTGCACTATTTCGAGGTGCTGGGAGCCGAGACGACATTAATAGAATCGTATATCAGTATACGGATGATCCAAAAAAGGCATCCAAGATTATTGATAAGCATTTGCGGGATCGTGAATTTGTGGTTTTCGATTTTACTAAGGCAGTAGACGATCCTTTAAGTATACATCTTGGTTGGGATACCCCTTTGAAACTAGATGAATAAAACGAACTGGAGAGGAAAAGTTCTATTTCGGGTGTATTATTATGGAGCAATGACCCAAAGAGTCTACAAGCGTATGATTTAGCGAAGCACAAGGTGCTAATTTTCCGGCAATAGGGATATACAACTTAACCCGCGTAGTCTATGCTTTCACTGTTACTATTTGGATTGAATTTTGATATTTATTTATATAATAATTGAGACGATAAGTTTTTTCGCCACAATATTCACCACTGCTCCAAAAACCCTCTATATTATTTCTTATGTTTTCTTTTTTATGGTCTTTATTACATATAGAACAGAGTACTGATCTATTAAAATCAAAATAATTACTATATTTAAAACTATGTTTTAGAGTTAGATAAGAAAATCGCTCTAATACCATGTTAATAACGTGTTGTTGTCTTTCTTCTGGATCTTTAGGTATAATAGAAATTGGAAATTGTCGTTTAGATGATATAGGTAGAACATTCATCTGCAGTACCCTCACCTGAGTTTCCAACGAACTGTCCTGTAGGATATGATTATCAGCATTTTCACTTTGTGAGGATTCAGAAGTTTCAGACTTTATCCAAGGATCGAGTCCAGTCTCTTCTATATATGCTTTATATAATCTAGAACGAATTTTATCTGTCTGAGAACTTGGTAAATCAACTAAATTAGCGTGCTATTTTGCAATAGTCATCAGTTAATATCTTGCTGGAGGTAGTATCAGGAGACATGTTATTGGTTTATATTAATGCAAGTCAATTCAAAATCATGTAGCTGTCAAGAAAAGAAATATCACTATCCATTTGTCCAGGTTTATGTAATTATTTACTTATGCTGTGATCTCAATTTCATGTCCCCCACATTTAATAAAATAGGATCCAGCTTCATATCTACCTTTTATACTTTTCTCACCCTTATGACTTAATTTACATGCTGAACATAACGACTTATCAAGAATTCTATAATAATCAAATTTTTCACTGCTAAATTCTCTATATATATCAGAGTATCGACCTGATATTTTATTACAAAAATAAACATGATCATGGGCTGGATTATTCTGTTCTTCAGGTAAGGTCTTTGATTCAGTTTGAGATTTGAATGGCACATTTACCTCTGCTTTTGATAAATCTTTCTTGGGTTGTGATGCAAATGATACATTTATCTCAGTTTCTAATAAAGTCTTTTTGAGATGGGCCGTCCCGGAAATTTCAATTATATTCTCTTCAGAAGATACTTCAGGTATGATTTCAAGTGAAGGAGAATTAGAGATTTGGCTCTCTGAACCATGATTAATAATCTCTTGAATTTGATCGTTAGTAAGTTCCGAGATAGAATTTGTACTATAATCCTTAATATGTTTAATTTTATCTAAACCTATCTTTTCGAATAACTTATAAATTTTTACAGCTCTTTGAGTTTTTTTGTGCAAGGTATCTTGTGATATATTTGGAAGTTGTAAGCCCAAATCTTGTGATCGTTTTTTACAAAGAATACAGAGTTGATTTTCAATTTCATTATAAATTAAGGTTCTTGTTTTTTTCTCACCAATTTTATTTTTACTACTCATCTCACCAACTTGAAATTCAAAATCCCTACCATAAAGAGACCAGCACATGATTTCTTCCTGATTAGCCTTCGAAGCTCGATCTTCTGCAATTATGACTGTATCGCACAACTGAGCTAAATGTAGTGATACCTCATTAATGTCAAATAAATTAATACACCTCTCAGAACTATCCATGCTCTCAAATTTTTTGGGACGGGCCGTCTCGGAAATTTCAATCTGTTCTGGTTTAATATTTTTTGATATAAAGTGATCTTGTGAACTCGACTCTAAAGAAGTATTGAACAATTCTTGCCGGAGTTTATCTGTTTCCTTTTTCTTATGGCTAACCAAAGATAGGCCTTGATCTCGAAGCTTCTTCTCCCTATTGCACTGTTTTATCTCACTACTAGCTCTTTCCTGACTTTTAAAATCCAGAAACTCATCGATCTCTTTATTTTCTGATGATTTAGGCTCAGACGAGGATGTATGAATGTTGGAAGAAATATCAGATGATGCTTCGTGGAGAATAGAATCTTCTATACGTGTATGTTATCATTTTGTGTCTGCTTCTGTTCCAATTTCGTAACCCTGTCTCTGAGTTCAGCATTTTCAGCAATGAGATTACTGGTGTCTGTTTTATTTTTCTTTTCTAGCTCCTCGAATCTGGTCTTGAGCTCAGCATTTGCTTCTATAGCTTGCTTCAATTTTGTATTCTCGGCCTTGATCTCGGCATTGTCCTTTCTAAGCTCAGCAATTGTGGCAATTAGTTGAGAATTTAATTCTTGCAACGAATCGATTTTTGATTGAGTGTCTGACATTGTTTATACAAGATGCGGATATGTTCAAAAGTTTATTAAAAATCACATGACTCTGATCGTCACGATTCGTGCGGTTTTGTCAAGAAAAATCCTCGAACTATGATTTATTCTTTTGCGCCGGCATGTCTCATTGTTCCACAATAGTGCCGAATGTACAGATGACTAAAAAAATATCGCGTTGATTTATCCGTAAGACATATCTGGCTGTGCAACACGAACTGGCGATCGATCAGGAAAAATAAAATCTACGCTAACCCATATTTGTCTTGCTGTTATGGCAATCATTTTCTGCAGATGGGTCGTGACGCTAATTCAGCGAATCCCTAAGTGTACTTACACGAAAAAATAATCAAATACTAGCAAGAGCAAAATTTATTTTTCCTGATATACTAGTTCGACTTGTCAAGTTTCAATCGGATGATTATCACGGCTCTAGCGGGATTCAACCACGATGGGTTGTTTTTCATATAATTACATAAGAAAAATTATACTACGATTCTACCACAACTCAACCGTAGTTCTACCGTAAATTAATCACATATGAATAGCTATTGTGGAAAAAATAATCTTACTGATTCGTATCAAAGAATTTGATTGGTTATAAATCACATGATATTATCTTTTTAACGTGATATGCATACGCAAGTGTTGAACATTGTACTGTGTCACTTTCCTGAACGATGTCAAGAAAAGGAAAAAGAAAAACTAAAAAAACTGTATCTTCTACTAGCCAGTCTACAGGTAAAAGTGAACGTATTATGAGTATTATTTGTGATAAATTACTTATTATCATTGGT